CCCCCCCCCCCCCCCCCCCCGACCGTAGGAAATGTGGCCGTTTGGAACGGAAGCTTGTTTCTCAGTCATGGAATGGCAAAAGGGAAGCAGCAAAAAAAAAACTTCCTATTGGCGTCTGACCCTCCACCGCAGGTGGCACTGTTGGGGCTGTTCATTGCGGCGACGGCCTCCAACAAGCGACCAACAGGTTCTCGGGCTTTCGCGGCCAGGGCAATCGTCACGCTAGCGCTGGCCCTGGTGGCTTCGGAGGCTTTGCAGCAGACCCAGCGGCAACCACCGCCACCCTTGTCCGGAGGGGGGGGAGGAGGAGGGATGGCGACGCTGTCGGCCCTTGTGTCCGACAGGGTCGCGGCGAGCCCGAGCTGTGGGACGGAGGGAGGTGGCGATGTGTCGTGCGGACAGGTTGGCACCCGTAAATGCGTCGTTCGGGCCGGCCGCCTGAGGCGGGCGGGGTGGGCCGGGCTTGTCAGTCGTCGTTGCTCGTCGCCGAACGCGTCGCACCCCCTTTGATCTATCACTTGTGCTCGAGTAAATACCATTCCCCGAACAAATGTTGTTCAGTTTCGTTTTCGTTCCATTTCCGCAACGAATTCTTGGGTGCTCGAAGGGACAGCACGTAGTATTTTTGGTGTGTTTGGTCGACCCGCGAACTACCTCGGACTGACTCGCGAAGCAGACCTCCTCCCTCCGCCGTCTGCCCTTGGCCAACCCATCCCAACTCCCATCCCCGACCTTCTCCTCTTGACGGACAAAAGGTTGGCGAGGCGGTCCTACCCACGCTTCAGGCGTGCCTGCACTGGATGAAGGGGCTTTGGAGCGTTCTGGACCAAGGGGAGTGGCGATCGGTGCGATTCGGGGTGATCGAGTTCTGGGGCTGGGCTTCGGTGGCGGGGTATTTGGCCCTGGTAGAGGCGCTCCCTGTGATGCTGCAGCCTCTCCACGGTGTTTTTCGGTGAGATGCGAGCAGCACACTAAAACTTTTTTCTGTTGTGTTGGAATGCCTTCGCGAGGATATTGATTTTGTCTTTATGAAAAAGAGAGGCAGGGGCGACGTAGACCCTAAGCTTCAGAACCCCCGAAAGTTCACCGACTCCATGCTGTTGTCCAATATGCTTGGTTCATTGAAACTAGGCTGCTGCTTTTGTTGGCGATGGTGCGTTGATTGAGACGGAAGAAGGGTTGTTGTTTGCTGTTGAAGGTTCAGAGCGGAGGGCGGGTGGGGGGGTGGCGTACTCACGTTTTGCATGCCCTTGCTGTGAGACCATTGACCACGCGTCCTCGATTGGACGCAGGATGATGTTGTGGCTTGGCGTAAGTTGTTTGAGCATCGGCCACCCGCTTCTGACGACACGGGGCGACGCCGCTCTTGCCATGTGTTGGTGCTCGTATTCGAGAACCCCAATAAAGCGTACAAGCACATAATCAGCGTGAAACACGGGCAGGCGCCGTTGATTGCCTCCGGGAAACCTTGCGATGTCATCGCGCGTGATGGGTGGTGCACGGGGTAGAGTCGTTTTGCTCCCCCCTTGTGGTGCGTTCGCGGTAGTTCCTACACAACGGTGTTTGTGGTGCGGAGAGCTCGATGTTTGATCCTCTCCTTCATTGATCCAAAGGAAAAATGATGACCCTTCACAACATCACGAAACACAGGCAAAGCGATACCTCCGCGGCTAGCACCGAAGCAACTATCCACTCACGACAACCGCGACCGCGTATCATCACACACCTCTTCGTCGTGAACGACAAGATCTCTGTCGCTCTCGCTCTGACACCACCACGCCACGACCGGACGTTTGCAGGAGGCTAGAGCGAGGCCACAACATCCTCCTCGCACTCACGAGCGCGGCGATGCTGGTGGGGATCATCTGCTCCTGCGTCACCAGCGGGAAGACTTCCAGCGTGCATGCGATGCTGTGCGGAGCTTTCGACGAGGGGGACCCGGTCTTCGACATGACGGCCAAGACGTTCTTCTGGTGAGAGGGGTGGCGGGGGGAGGGGGAGCAGCGCTGCTGCGGATGATGAACTGTTCCCTTTCGAGCAGTTGCGTAGTTGCTTCCGGCTGATGCTCCTCCTGGCGACGACTCCGCCAACAGCAGTGTTTGGGGTGTTGCTGACGTGCCTGCCACCGTGTCCACCTGAGCAGGGAAGCGACAGGGGGAAGCGGTTTGCTCGTTTTTTGCTTCTTCCTTTGTAGCTCTCCTCCGAGATTTTTTTTTTATTGTGGCTGCTATTTTGATGTCTTAACAACGAGACGCCCACAAAATACCCTGGATTTGCTTTTGTATTGTTCCATTTCAATGCACCATTATCTGCTTTAGGGCATTGGAAAGAGACTGAAGCGATGAGTTGCACTACACATTTAATGCAGGTGGTGGTATCTTGCTAGGCCAGACTACCGGCACCGTCTTGATCCCTAGCCCTGTCTCATGCTTCCGTGTGTATCCGTCCAAAGAGGGTGCTACGGCACCCCCTTTTGAGATATCTAGCTATCCCTGTGTGCTATTCCTCTATGCATACATCGAAATAGAGTGCAGCGGGACCCCCGGTGAGCACGATGGGAGAAATACCACGATACTAGCTGTGACAACGAGCTTGTTAAGCCCATGTTCGTCGTGTTGAGTTTGGTTCCAACGTCGTGCGTTGGTGTCGTGTGGTCTTGCCATGAACGGTAGGTGTTTGTGCACGCTGTTGGCCGTCTCATCGATACTTTACCCGTGCGACATTGTTTCAGTGCCCCGGATTTCTCTCGGGTGTTTGTGTTGACGCAGTTCCTGGCCTTTGTCCGCTTGCTTTTGTCTGCTTCACCTGTGGTTTATGTATCTCCGCAAGGTCCAAAGCCTGGGAGTGGGTGGACACGGCTATTTTGGTGGCGAAGGGCAAGCCGGTCTCGTGGCTCCAGTACACGCACCATGCCTCCACTGCTATCCTCACGGCCCTAAACATGGTGAGGTCTGGACTACCAACCACTGTGCAGTTGGGGTGCGGCAAACGTCATACCTTGCTCACGTAGTACATCTCTTCATTTTCCCCTCTGTGCTAGTGTTCCATGTAAACCGTGAAATAAAGCAACAAATAATCTCTCTCACACCCCCTGGACCGACTTTGTTTGCTCGAGTACACATACACCGCAACCGAGAGGGTGCAAAGATGGACCTATGCTTGTACGCGGCAGGGAAATCCTTTTAACCTAAATAGATGTCTGTGAAAGTGCCCTTGTCGGCATTGGCAAGCTACATCATTGTATTGTAGCTAGTGGTCATGGAGCAATCGACTTGAAAGGTTATTCCTTTTTTTTTTCAGGCCCCCGGGAAGGGCAAGGAAGGCGACCGAGCTGATAATGTACTTGTATGTCCACACACCAACAGCAGGTGATATCTGCTCCTTCTCGGTGTGCCCCAACATTGACGGGCACTGGTTGTTCGTTTGATACTCTTTCTAACCCCGCGGTCCCACACGTGGACTGTTTGCTAACGGGTCCTCGCTTTTGCGGTAATTTTGGCTCGTTCCAGGTGCCGACCCGCAACGCCATGTGGTCCGTCGTGTGCGCTCTCAACAGCTTTGTGCACGCTTGGATGTACGCCTACTACGCTTTCCCTAGGTACTATTCATTCCTCAATCTTTTTTTGTGTCCGTTGCTTCCGCCGCCAAAGGCGACTGGTGTCAACGTCGTTGTTGTCGTGTCGAAATGTTTTCCTTTAGTGGTTGTTAATGTGCAAAGGTGCTGGTTGCTAATGTTGTTGCTGCCTGTTATTTTCCCTTGGCCAGACATTCCGCACATGCGATTCGTCGCGATACAACGAACAGGACCGCTTTGTTAATGTACTTGGAAGTATTTTTTTTCGGGGGGGGAGTCAGCGGTGGAAACTACGCGTGTTTCATCGTAGACATGGTCACATTCCTTGTGCGCGACGAAGGGCATGGTTGCCTATGCACTATATATTTGCCGCGGCCCGGTTGTCTCACTCTCGTCGCATGCTCGCCGTGTTGGCGACGCTTGAAGATCTGCTATTTCATACCCCCAATCCTCTAGTCTCCGTCTTCGTCTCTAACCCTACGCGTTGCTGCCACCCCATACTTCAACCCTACCGGCCTCTAACACACCCCTCCCCACGTCATACCCCAGGATCAGTTACAGCCGCGGGGCTCTCATGGGGCGGACAGGCCAGGTCGATCTATCCGGCTTGTCACGCATCCCCCCTTATCTAAAGTACTGAGCATGTTGATGTTTTTGCGAAGATATTTCCCCGCCCTAATGTAACCCCACCTCCCCGTCGTCGCCAACCCTCGCCTATCCCGCAGGTTAAGCCTGCTGCGGCGCACGAAGGTCTGGCTAACGTGGGCCCAGATGGTGCAGCACATGATCGTCCTTGCGTCTGCGACCTACGTGGTGTACCAGAGCCGAACAGGGGCCGAGGTAGGTTTCGTCCCCTCCCCTCAGCTGTACGCCCCCCTCCCCCCGGTGTTTGCCATCGGGGTTGGGTTTTCGTCGCTTGGCAACGACGTTGTAAAACAAGCCGCCCCACCCGGTGTTTGCCATCGGGATTGGGTTTTCGTCGCTTGGCAACGACGTTGTAAAACAAGCCGCCCCACCCGGTGTTTGCCATCGGGATTGGGTTTTCGTCGCTTGGCAACGACGTTGTAAAACAAGCCGCCCCACCCGGTGTTTGCCATCGGGATTGGGTTTTCGTCGCTTGGCAACGACGTTGTAAAACAAGCCGCCCCACCCGGTGTTTGCCATCGGGATTGGGTTTTCGTCGCTTGGCAACGACGTTGTAAAACAAGCCGCCCCACCCGGTGTTTGCCATCGGGATTGGGTTTTCGTCGCTTGGCAACGACGTTGTAAAACAAGCCGCCCCACCCGGTGTTTGCCATCGGGATTGGGTTTTCGTCGCTTGGCAACGACGTTGTAAAACAAGCCGCCCCACCCGGTGTTTGCCATCGGGATTGGGTTTTCGTCGCTTGGCAACGACGTTGTAAAACAAGCCGCCCCACCCGGTGTTTGCCATCGGGATTGGGTTTTCGTCGCTTGGCAACGACGTTGTAAAACAAGCCGCCCCACCCGGTGTTTGCCATCGGGATTGGGTTTTCGTCGCTTGGCAACGACGTTGTAAAACAAGCCGCCCCACCCGGTGTTTGCCATCGGGATTGGGTTTTCGTCGCTTGGCAACGACGTTGTAAAACAAGCCGCCCCACCCGGTGTTTGCCATCGGGATTGGGTTTTCGTCGCTTGGCAACGACGTTGTAAAACAAGCCGCCCCACCCGGTGTTTGCCATCGGGATTGGGTTTTCGTCGCTTGGCAACGACGTTGTAAAACAAGCCAATTCACTTCGTGAACTCGGCAACCAGGTTACCGTTTTTTTGTTTTTACCTCCGTTTTTTTGTTTTTGGCGGTAACCATAGTGGTGGTCGTGTAGATCATGTTGTGCGGGGTGGAGAACCCTCGCTCCGCGCAAGGGGGATGATCGCACCACGTTGTGTTAAAATGGTGAAGCACCCTCGAGGCAGTTACACAGTGCTTACAACTGTCTCTGGAAGTGAAAGCACCAGAAAATAAATTAATTCATACGCAGCTGTCATCCGTACGCAAGGAAGTAAGCACAAGATGCCGAACACCCTTAGCAGGATGCAGCTCACCCTTCATGCGACTCGCCGAATATCTCACGGCGCTCCGCGCTTGGTGATGTGAGAGCCTGGTCCGGTGAGAACCCGGCGTGCTCCGTCCCGGCTGTGTAGGGATGCGAGGTCAATGGTCTAACGACTACGGCATGCACGACTATGAGTACACCTCCCCTCAGCTGTACTGGGGTATAGGAATTGGCTGAAGAGGCGGGAAGTGATCTCGACAGGGTAGGGAAAACATTCTTGGCTACCTCAAAGTAGGAAGGCACGATTGGGCCTCGGTGATCGGTCCTGTGGGAAGAGTGCCCCGTCCTCTCGACCCCTCGTGGCCAATGATCTAGCCGCTACGGCATGACAACATACGAGTACGCCCCCCCCCCCCCCCCCCCCCCCCCCCNNNNGCCCCCCCCTCCCCCGGCGCGCAACCTTCAGAACATCTCATATGTTCACTGCTCTTCGTATGCTTGACGCAGCCGTTCGTCAGCATGAACATGTACGCTGTGATACTCTTTTGCTTGACGAAGCTCGTAGTTGCGTGGCCCCCCCAATCTCCTCCTCCCTTTCCCATCGCTCATGCACCGCGCACAACCCCCAAGCATTCTAAACTTCGTAGCCTCGAGTGTGATAATCTCTACGCCGTACGGGATTTCTTCGGTGATTGCACCCACGTATGCCTGTGGCGTTGCAAGGTTCACTCTAGCCCACCCATGTTACTCGCACCACCTGGGCTATTTGGGTGTGCTCCTTCATTGCTGGCGTGTACCTTGGTATTTGTGTTGACACCTCCCGGGCCCGTTATGTCGGACCTGCGGCTGCACCACGCAAGAAATAGCATCGCAGAACTGCCGTCTTACTGGCATCGTAACACAGAGCGTTCTCCCTGCGAAGCTCTTCGTTTGATGTTCATCGCGTTGCGTACGAGTGTCGGAGGTACAGTACCGCTGAAAATTTGCCCGACACCTTCTGTTCGATTCGCCGCCCACCCTCTAGTCAGCATTTTGTTTGTTCGCCTCTTAGAACGGGTTCACGTCGCATCTCATCGTCAGCAGCAGCTGCTACCGCATTACGACCAACCCTGCTCTGCTTTTTTTTTTTTTTTTTTTACCCCCGGGGCCTCTTTCGTGGGACACACGCGCGTCGAAAACCCTCTTCCGCAGTGCCACAACAACACCACCCCGATCCTGGCCGGCCTCGGGCTTTACCTCATGTACCTGGTGTTCTTCGCGCTGTTCTACCGACGAACGTATCTGGGAGGGGCCAAGAAGCCCCACCGAAAAACGTCGTAGTATTACCGAAGATTCTCGTGTGTGAGGGCCTGTATCACGCGTCGGGGATGATAAAGTCGCCGCACACCAATAATAGACCGGGAAGCTCGTTGGTAGTATGCATTCGGGGAGAAGCGGGGCGTCAATGGTGATGGTGCCCGATGTGGCGGGTAGTGGGCCTTCTTTGAGAGCCTTTTGTCTTCGGAAGCTTTCTGGAGACTGGCCTTTCGTCCGAGCGTGTTTCCGGTGCCCTTTTTTTGCTGGAGTTGCCAAAAGTTGGGAGGTCAACCGCACCGGATCGGGGGATGTGGGTAGGGATCATTCATACACGCGTGTTGCCGCCGTCTTTCCGCCACGGCTATCCTTCTCCGAGAAAATCGGAGCCGTAGCACGTCGTGGGTCTCCGGCCTCTAGTTTCTCACAACCCGCATCCAACGCGAGGCCTTGCGATGTTTCCCGCGAGCCGTACGAACTGTGGGTGGTACATATATCCTATTTAGCTCGTAAACTTTGTTGTTCAGTTCGACCGTCGACTGGCTGAGGTTTTTTTCTCTCTCGATTAGTATACAGTCGATTGCCGTTTCCGCTATGTGTATTTTTGTTCTGGACTGAATGGGATCCGCGATGTTCATGTTCCTGCGCCTCTGCCCTGGGCTAATCATGGCGTCCGCGGTGGTGGTGGTGACCCGGGAAAACCGGTGGTCGCTGCAGCGGGTCCAAAAGCCATCGAGCTAGCAAGTAAATGGTAAGAGTGTAGAGTGAAAGTGTAACCTATGCATGACCGGTGTATCTTCAAAGGGTGCCTTTTTTTTGTTTCCATCCTCGACGAAAGGTGAACACGTTGGGGGGCACCGTGTAGGTCACGTCGGGGGTGCATTGTTTCTGTCTCCCTTTCTTCTCTCACCCCTTAATTTTCAGACAACCGAGTTACTGTGTGGTGTGTGCGTTTTTTGAAGTAGCGTCCACCGCGCTAACCGGCTGACCGATGAAGATAATTCAGTGTCAGTGCGGGTGAAAGCAGTGTGTGCGTGAGTCGAATTAGCGTCGACCGCGCTAACCGACGGACCAATGAAAAGGCGTCGGTCTTGTAGGGGGAAAAGTTACCCGAACACGATTTTGTCATCAATGGTATGTGCGCTGGTTGGCCACCGGATGAGTCTTGTGCTTCCCTACCGGGGATGACGGAAAATCGAAAGTGGCCGGCGTGGGGTGGCGTGATTCATCCTGTGTCAAAAGTGTTGCGGTGTGATTATCTGTACACGCTTTGCCCGGATCGCCCGAGAGAAAACAGGGTTCTGTATGGAAAAGGAGAGTTTTGAGGTGCCTGTTCACACAACAGCTTGGGAGGGGAAAGGCAGTAAGAGATGAGGCCGGTCGCAAGTTGTGCAAGACGTACTTTCTTCGCTCTCCGCCTACGTGCACGGCTCATGGAGGATCTTTTCATGCCAGGTATATAGTCTCCGTGCAGAGACCTCTTCCACGCAAGCACCGAATCTCTTGGCATGCCCTCGGATGGAAAGCTGACATTGCCAGGTGTTGTTTTGTCAGGGAGGGGATGCCTGACGGATAACCCGGCCAGGGTTGGTTCGGGAAATATAAGCACCGACGCGTGGGGTGATCTGTCATGGCCTTGGGTGTGGGCCGCAGGGAAAAATGTAACTGTTTGGAGGAGGTGTGATACAGGGTCGGGCGTGAAGAGCAAGGCAAGGTGGGGGGGGGGGGGGGG